TGCAAACATATGATATTTGTCCTTCTCTGCCTGACTTATTTCGCTCAGCATAACACCCTCAAGGTCCATCCATGGTGCTACACATGGCCAGATTTCATTGTTTCTCATTGCCATGTAGTATTCCATGGTATAGATAAACCACATCTTCTTGATCCTGAATGAACCTATTTAATCCTTGCAATATCCCTATGAAGTGAAGAAACAGAGCCTGAGAGACAGCAAATTACTTGCACAGGGTCACAATGAAGAGGGTGACAGCAAATGGAGGGGTAGAGGAAGCTGCCTGTAGGAGTTAATGGTAGAAGGGCAAAAGGGATTTAAAAGTTGACTGCATCTGGATTTTTCCTTTGTGTTCAACTTTCTCCTCAAGACTCCCAGGGTCACTGGCAATATCATAAATCCATACAGTAGCTTTTTACACTTCCCCTCTCAGCAGAATGTATGTATGTACCCCCTGCTCCTTCCCCACTCCATCCTGAGGAAGATTCTAGATCTCTGGGACTTCCAGGAAACAAATATCACCATTTAGGCTGGTTTCTAAGTATGAGTTTTGCCCTTTGCTTGTAACGATCTTGTACTCTTCCCCATATGTTGGATATACTTCCCAACTCTCTTCAAAGACAGTGACACCTAACCTTCTACATTTTCATCTGTGTAATGGAAAAGGAACATAGCCCAACCAATTCCTGATCCCTATTCCCACACTTCTAGACACAGAATGCCCCTGATCAAAGTCACTGATTTTTACTCTACCTTGAACTTGTCCTAGAGGAAGCACCAGGTTCTCCTCTGGGGGAATATAACGTAAAACAACTGTCAGCTCCCCTTTATAGTGAAGGCCTATGTCAGCAGCAAATTCCACCTGGCCAAGGGAACAGAGGCGAAAAGAAAAAGTGACAACACTTGGTTTATTATTTTGTAGCTCATGTTTGAATGTACACTATTTACTTGCTGGCTTAAATATGACAACCCATTCCCATTCAACTATGTTAGAACTTATTGCTTTAAGATATACCTTAGGTACAATAAAAAAGTGGAAAACTCTATGAAGGTATTTCTCTATAACTTTTAACATTAAAGTAAAAGAAATTTGAGAGGAGATATAGGACACACGTGTGGTCAGTCGGGGACTACTGATGTCTTATTGTACAATGAAGGCTGGTACCCATCAATGAACATGTAGGTTGGGGTATGAAGTGGAAATAAAGATGCCATTGCAAACAGCCCCAGAAGACCCTTCTCCTTGTCTGTTCTTGATATCTCGAGGCTTTCCTAAGTGACCGAGAGGGGGAAAAGAGGCAGCAATGCTTGACTCACATTGGGCTGCTCAGCCACCGATCATTAAAAGCTATACTGTAATTCACATCATTAAAATTCAATGTGGAAAAACTGGTTTACTTGGACATTGCTGGTGGGAATGTAAAATGGTGTAGCCATTTCAGAAAACAGTTTAGCAGTTGCTTATAAGACTAAGCATACAACTACCACACAACCCAGCAATTGCACATGGGGGCATTTACCCCAGAGAAACGAAAGACCATGTCCACATAAAAAGCTGTATGCAAATATTCCTATCATCTCTATTTGTAATAGCCCCAAACTAGAAGCAAACTAGATGACCTTCAAGAGGTGACTGGTTCAACACACTATGGTACAGCCTTACCATGGGACACTACTCAGAATGAACTGGCAATATGCACAATTTGGATGAACTTCTTCAGAATTATGCTGAGTGAAAGAAAACAGCTCAAAAGGATACATGCCACACAATTCCATTTAAATGACATTCCTGAAGTGACAAAAAAAGCAGGTGCTGGGAATTAGGGAAGGGTGGCAGGAGCGAGGTGGATGTGGTTATAGAAGATCACAAGGGATCTTGGCTGTGATGGAACTGTCCTGTATCTTGGCTGTAGTGGTATAAAAACAAAGCTACACATGTGATTAAATTGCATAGAGCGCGCGCGCGCACACACACACACACACACACACACACACACACACAGATGAGAACTGAGGAAATCTGAAGAAGATGGATGTACTGGACCAATGTGTCATTACCCTGGTTGTGGCCAGCTATGGCTGCACCATAGCTTTGCAAGATGCTACCACTGGGGGAAACTAGGTAAAGGGTACATGAGATCTGTCTGTATTATTTCTTATAGCTGAATGTGGATCCACAATCATCTCAAAACCAGAAGTTTCGATGCAAAAATTCAATGTGAACATACACCCAGAACCTTTGTTCTGTAAGGCTCCTACTTGCCATGGAGTCAACTGAACTATGACTTTTCATAAATGGGGTGAGAAAAATCGTATGCTTTCTTAGGCCTTTCCTTCAGGCACCTGACTCCTGAGCACAGAGTCAAGGGCTGAGAACTGCTCTCTTCTGAGACGGTAGACCAAAAGAATTCAGAAACCCCGAAACTCACAGTGAGGCCAGAGGCTGTTTAAGCTTCAGTGGAGACAGAGACCATTACCAGGAAAAGGAATCCTTGCCTGACGTTCCTCTGGGTGGTGGTACAACATATTAGTAAGGGTGGGAAAATCATTTGAAGTATTTTATTCCACCTTTTTACGAGGGGGAAACATGAGACTGGATGGTGAAATAGACTATCCATCTAATACTTAACTGATGTAAGCCACATGGCTTGTAAAAGGACTATTCTTACTGTTCTGACAGTTTTAGTAAATGTTACTTTATGTGAATGTCACAAATGGAAAGTTATAATGGACATCATAGCAGATTAAAGATAGTACAGCCAATGAGAAGTGGGGCATTCTCTTTGGATAAGTGGACCCTGTAATTGCTTTGAATAGTAGACCATGGCACAAGTGACAATGCGCCAGTTTCTGGGCCCCAACCCTAAGATGAACAGCTTCTACTCCCCCTCTTAGAATGGATATCCTTGGGATGTTCCCTCTGAGAACCCTTGGTGTGAGGCACAAGCCACATGGAGAAACCACATGTAGGTTCTTTGGGTGGCAGGCCTAGCTGAATTCCCAGCTGGCAGCTAACGTTAAGTGTGACAGTCATCTTGAACAACCAGTGTAGTTAAGCCTTCATACGACTTCGGCCTCAGTCTACCATCTAGCTGCAACCATATGAGAGACCTTAAATAAGAACCAACTAGCTGAGCCCAGTCATGCCCAGAATCATGTGCAATAAATTGCTTTAAACCACTAAGGTTTAGGGGTGCCTGGGTGGCTCAGCTGGTTGGGCATCCGACTCTTGGTTTCAGCTCAACTCAGGATCTCACAGCTTGTGGGTTCAAGCCCCATGTCAGGCCCTGTGCTAGGGATTTCTCTCTCCATCTTTCTCTGACCCTCTTCTGCTCACATGTCCTCTCTCTTCCTCTCTAAATAAACATTAAACCACTAAGGTTTTGGGTAGTCTCTATACAACAGTTAACCAATGTAGACTCTATTTGCTTTTGGCTGAGAGCTTTGGATAGGAAAGTAGGTTGTTAGGAAAAAGTGATATATACAGCTGACACATACTAATATACAGTATATTAGGTGAGATTAAAACATGCATTATTGGGATTTATTAATGCTCCACTGGAATTTAGCTTAAGATATACTGGTGACTTTCTGCAAATAGCCTTAAAATCTTTTTTAATGTTTTATTTCTTTTTGAGAGAGAGAGAGAGGTGGGGGAGGGAGGAACAGAATCTGAAGCAGGATCCAGGCTCTGAGCTGTCAGCACAGAGTGCAACACAGGGCTCAAACTCACAAACCATGAGACCGTGACCTAAGCTGAAGTCAGACGCTTAACCAACTGAGCCACCCAGGTGCCCCCAGTCTTGAAATCTTATGAGAGTAGAAAATAGTAAAGATAAAGTCTTGTAGCATTGTAATCACATACCAAAGAAATTCAACACAGTGAGTTATCTTGCAGCCTGCACATACCTAATGTCTTGGGCTAGTTTTGGTATTCTTGGAAGGAAATTCCAAGGCAATGTCATCTCCTGACATACCATCATTTTACATTATTAAACCACCTTCTGCTCATAAAAAGGTCTAATTCAATTCACTTCATTCAATTCTACCAACACATATGGAACGCTGTCTTGTAGTAATGCTTTTAAGCCATTTTGCTAAGTGCTGTAGGGACACATTAGACTCAGACTCTGCTTTCTATAAATTTTCAGTCTATCCAGGAGACATATATTCAACAGAAGCTCTATTAATCTGCCTTTATTAACTGATTCATCAGATTAATGTTCTCCATTGCCAATGAAGAGCAGGATCCTCTATACAAAGATCATGCATACCTGCTTCTATCAGCTGAACTATGCTCATCAAAAGCCAGCTGCATTAGTCTCCCAGGCTCTTTAGGCCAGGCATGTTTGAGGTTCTAATTATATAAGTTAATATCAATAAACTGAAGAGCAAAATACAGTGGGGACTGTATAAAATGTGTTTAAGAACTGGTAGGAAGTCAGGTGTGATTAGAGGTGTGTGTGAAGGGAGGTTGTGGCCAGGAGGATGGAAACAAGGTGTCTACTCTGGGTTGCCTGGAAGACCCTAAGACACAAATTTATCTTAGAGGGTTTTATTAGGAAAGGGAGTGGAGAAGTGGGACCACAAAATGAAGAGAGGCTTAACAAGGCTGTGATATCAGGCAGCGTTTTATGGTGAGTAACTTGCTCAGTTCCACAGGGGTGCTTTGGAGACCAGACGGATCACATGTCAGAGCTGCCGCAACCAGAGACAAGGGAATCAGAGTGTTTGTTATGCTCCTTCATCCATCAGTTACTGATCAAGGGCTCTGCCCTCAACCTTCAGGAAACTTATTCAGGCGACTCTGGCTTTCCACTCCCACAGACCAAGACCACATCAGCAGCCTAAGGGCTCCTCTCCTACAAAGACCCTCCGGTGTTGGCTTGTGTGAATGAAAGCCATGGGGAACCACATACGCATAAAAATGGGGATGTAGGTAGAGCACTCGCACCCTCCTCTGTCACAGAGGGCTGGACCATATCAAGGGGGCGCTAAGTACCAGGGTGCTGGGTTAGGATTTATTCAAACCATATCCATAAGCAGTTGGGAACCAGTGAAGGTAGCTAACAGAGGTGTGGCATCATCAAGTAACACCCGTTATTGTCCACTTTTTGAAAAGAAACAGGGATCCACATTGCATCAGAGTTGGAAGCAGTTTCCAGCACATTTATAGGTCTACGATGGTGGTAATAAATTATGGACAAGAGTCTGCCCAAACTGCCAAATACAGAGAGAGCCTTTTGGCTAGGTAATAATTTCAGAGGAACGTGCATTTACTCTCTGCCTGAAGGCAGAACAGAGAAGATTTCCTTGGAAAACACTTGAGTTTGCTGTTGGTTTTCAAAGCTCCTTGTTTTTATAACAGCACCTTCCGGGAAGACATAAAAGGCAATTCAAACTGACAAGCCCTTCTTGTCTAACTACCTAACGTGCCTTTCAGAAAGATAATGAGTTACAGCTAATAAACAAGCTCATGTCACGCAGTGAAATACAAGTTATACCGTGAAACTACTTTACAGTACGTGTGACGTCTTGAGTTCTTTCTCTGTCTGCACCAGCCTCCTCACTGGCTTAGAGCTGTTAGAGAGAGCAGAGGCAAAGGCAGGTGGCATGGGACTTTCACTAACACGGAGTCGGTAAGAAATAGGCACTGTGTCCTTACAGTATTCCCACTGAGAAAGGATGTCAGTATTCCTGAATGCTTAAAAGGACTGTTAATTCTGATCCTCTATCAGTACAGGACTTGGTTCCCTGCAACTTACACTCCATCTACTCAGCTGGTAATCTACAAGAAGACACCAAGAGTCCCGGGCTGCTTATCCGGTAGGTACAGCTGATGAGGTGACTACTGCCTTGAAGTGTCTGAGACAGGAGACTGAAAAGGAAGTGACAGCTCTCATAGCTGGCTGATAATCCACCACACGGAGCCCAGCTCTGCCTGAGGACGAGCCACTAAGGAACGGGAGGCAGTGTGCAGAGTTTTGCTGCACCTGTGGTCCCCATTTCTGGAAGGCACGGCATCTAAGCAAGGCCGAATCTGCGGGCTTTCCTCTATGCGTGTCAGAGACACTTAAACGTATCCATATGTGTCGTCTTTTTCTTTGCAGAGAAAGATGATATGGATTAGAGACACAAACCTATGTTGGGTTCCCCAGAAGCAGACTCTGAAGTGAGGATTCTTATGTACATGACTTATTAAGAATTTCTCCCAGAGTGCTGATTCGAAGGGGCACGTGCTCCCCAATGTTTGTAGCAACACTACCAACAACAGCCTAACTATGGAAAGAGCTCAAATGTCCAGTGACTGATAAATGGATAAAGATGTGGGGTGTGTGTGTGTACACACAATGGAATATTGCTTGGAGATCAAAAAGAATGAAATGTTGCCATGTGCAACAACGTGGATAGAACTAGAATGTATTATGCTAAGCAAAATAAGTCAGTCAGAGAAAGACAGATACCATATGGTTTCCCTCATATGTGTAATTTAAGATACAAAACAGAGGGACATAAGGGAAGGGAGGCAAAAAATAAGATCAAAACAGAGAGGGAGACAAACCATAAGAGACTCTTAAATACCGAGGACAAACTGAGGGTTGCTGGTGGGGTGTTGGGTGAGGGAGAGGTCTAAAGAGGGTAGGGGCATTAAGGAGGGCACTTGTTGGGATGAACACTAGGGGTTATATGCAAGTGATGAATCACTAAATGCTATTCCTGAAATTATTAGTACACTATAGGTTAACTTGGATTTAAGTTAAAAAAATAAAAAATAAAAATAAAACAATAAAAAAAAAAAAAGAATTGCTCCCAGGATAGACCAGCCAAGGGGTGACAGGAAAGAGGTCACGGAAGGAGAGGAAGCCAGGCAAGGGCAGAGCCTGATACGGCGGTGAGGCTGTAGAGTATAAGTAATGCTTAGGAGCACCACCTCTTTTGCCCCCCGCTGCTCTCAGAGAACTAACTGCCTTGTGGCAGGGAGTCTGTAAGCTCCTAGGAGCTTCTGGCTCTCTGCTCATGTAGGGAAAAGCTACAGTAGCCCAAGGACAGGCTTCTAAACAGAGTCTCAGAATTTCTCTACCTTGAGCAGGCTCAGAGAGCTGCTTCTCCCCTGTGACCGACAGTGAAACCACTTACCATGCAAAGTGGTTGGTCCCTAAGCACGGAGGATGCCTGGGAGAGCTCAGATATCACCCCAGTGCGAGTCCTTCAACCATTTCCAGGAAACTGTCTGGAACCCTCCAAGCTGTTTTCCAAAGAGCCCCTCTGTGCTTTAACGTTAAATTTATGACAGGCAATTTTGTGTATTGAAATGAACGTTACTGTCCTTCATCCATGTCATGCATCATATAATGCCTGGGACATTTTCTAACTTAAGAGTCTGTGGTGCTCCCCTGGGATGTATGGAAGTGTTGGATCACTATATTGTACAGTGGAAACCAATGTAACAGTGTATGTTAACTATACAGAAATTAAAATTAAAACAATATAAAAATGCTGTGCATATTAGTTTGTATGTTATTTTGTGATAATACAATGATAATTTGAAATTTCTCAAGGCATAGAATTTTTTTCTTTTTCCTTTTGAGAGAGAGAGAGTGAGCAGGGGAGGGGCAGAAAGGCAGGGAAACAGAGAGAGAATCCCAAGCAGGCTCTGCACTGTCAGTGGGGAGCCCAGTGCGGGGCTCAATCTCACAAATTGTAAGATCATGACCTGAGCCAAAATCAAGAACCACCCAGGTGACCCTGAAGGCATAGCATTTCCTAATCATTCAACAAACCTTATAAATTTAGTATCACTGCTTTTTCCTGAGGTTGCAAATTATAATTCCTTCAATAAAACATATATTACCAAAGAGTGACAAGTAAATTCAAGTTTAGTAGTTTAAATTCACAAGTTCATGAGGTCTACATTTATTAGTAATGGCATCTTTTAGTGTGTATGTTTCCTTTCTTTTTCTTCTTCTTTTTTTATTTGTGGTTTGCCAGTCAAATCCTTATTTTATTCTGAGAGAAGACTTGATATTGTATAACTACTTTTCAGGCATGTTAGTGAAAATATTTGTACATTGATAAATTGAATAATGCTTCATTAAGAAAAAAATCTATGGTGCTCACCCATTACTCACAAAAGGAAGCAAGTGATAGGAGACTTTTAAGTCAGATGAAGTGCTATCCTTTATGCTAAGGCTTGTCATTCAATTCCAAGAGACTTAGTGTTGTAATGACCAAATATTTCCTGTAGTTCATGTCAGGAGAATGGTAATTCTATCGTGGACTTATTTCTTGTCAATATTGCACTTCCTATCTTTATCACATTTATGTTAGTTGTGGGCTTGTAGTTATTTTAAGGACTTTTATTATATTTTATTATCCATTTTATCCACAGCCCAAATATACTTCCCAAAGATTTCCCACGAATTATTTACACCAAGTTTAAGGTCCCCAATTATGAAACTCCACCAGAAAGTTGTATATAACTTCTGAGCCTCAACCTCCTCATATAACATGGAAATAATGGCACTTACCTCACAATGTCTGCTGTACCTTTAGCTGTGAACAGTGCTGTTATTGATGATGATCGATGCGTGTTTTGCTGTCTAGCAACCACTCAACATTCCTTTAGATTTCTTTTGGGGAAATACCACCTTCAGGACCAGAGTATGTTCTGATTGTCTTAAGTCAGCCAATGTATCTCCCCTCCCTGGCTGGCCACAGCAATTAGCTTAGGTGGGCAAAATGATGGAATTAGATCAGTCAGGCCCAGGGCACCGGTTGGAAACCTTTCCTCTCCTGGACAGTGCGGTGCAAGCATGAGAGGCTTGCAGGTGTCGTACCCAACACAAGCACACTGGAGCCAGTGAGGGGAGCCAACTGCACGAAGTATAAAAAATGAAGCCAACACATAGAAGAGAGATCAAGAGCGTCCAGGGCCTTGATGAGATTTGAATATCTGGATCAAGAGATGCTCGGTAATCACTGGCCAGTAATTTCCTTTAATTTTTGAGTGGTGTGAGCTGGGGTTTCTGTCATTGCAACATAGGGACTCTGATGTAACATAAATACTACCTAGCATTGACTGAGAGCTTAAAATATGCCTGACACAGTACTGTGAGCATCATATAGAGGGCTTCTTAGAGCCTCACAACATCCCAGTAAGATATGTCCAATTATATCACAAATGAGAATACCAAAGCCTGGGAAGTTAAGTAATTTGTCCAAGGTCACACAGTCACGAAGCTAGGACTAAACCCAGAAAGTCTGATTTGAGTCTACTATCTTTACCATCATGTTGTTTTTGCCTCTCTGTATGTAAAGAACAATCTTTGGTTACATAAATGTGACTTTTTAAATATCACTTTTGACTTAAAAAATTACTGTAAATATAGAGAGACTGCAATTGCATAGAGTGAAACCAAGGTACTGTTGGTCTAGTTCAGAACATGCTATATTGCATTTAATTTCTAGGATCAGCTTTAAGATTGTTTTTCCAAATACAACTCAAGACCTTGGTTATGAATCTCAAAAGCAGGACTGTAGAAAACCAGATACATTAGCTACTGGTCACCTCCTTATGTGAGCCAAGGCAAGATCACTCCTGCTGAGGTCTGAAACATGGAGTATCGGGAATAGAGAGAATGCTTTGATACTGAATGGCTCTATGGATCTGTTTTTGCCTGTGTGAAATTGAATAGTTTCTATTTGTGGTAGGATCACATAATGCATTCCACTTGCTTATCCATGGAGACCTTCAAATGATGAATAAATTTTCAGCAAGACAAGTTAATAACGTACACAACTATGTGACTTGCATTATACAGTATATATTAAAGAAGGCGTTCCAAGGACCAGGTTTACATTATTATATTATTCCAAAATCAGCTGCGCTAATCTGTTCAGAGGATCCCTTGAATATTAAAAGCCTTCAGATTCTTTAGGCCTATGACATCAATTTTGTTCATAGCTTGTCTCGTTACATGACCGTTTAATTAATCTGGAAGCATTTCCTACCTTGGGCTGAAGCACAAACCATTCGTCACTTGGATTTTCAAAATTCCATGAGTCAAAAGGAATCTCCACCTCCCCAAGGAAGCTGTTACGTCCAAATCGGTCATAATGCCAGACTGAGAGCTGCAGCGTTCTGGTTTCCAGCTGGGTGTGGCTGATGGTATACTGCAAGTGAGACGGACAACGTCATACCCCGCATGGAGGGCTCTGCCCAATTCTACAACAGGCTGAAACGTATTTCCACCATCTTTCAGATCACATGCATGAGTAGTATGAACAAAACAAACACAAAAAACACCTTCTTTTTCTTTGTTTACGCCACAACTGGGATCCTATTCCAGAAACTCATTGTGTGTCAGACCTAGCCCTGAAAGATGTTTTGGCAAAGTATGAATCACAAGGTCAATAAACTTCAAATATATTAGTAAGTGATGAAGCTTGTCCCCTTTCCGGTTTTACTTGGTTTTCATTTGCTAATCATTGCTTTCAACATCTACTCTGTAAGCTTAGGTTTTGATATATCAAGTCTCCCAACTTCTCTTATTCATAATGGGAACCCCCAAATCCAGACAAGTGTGGTCAGTGAGAAACTTGCCAACACCATACTCCGAAAAGTGTAGAATAAGTGCAGGAGTAAATAGACAGATGTGTAGATTGAGCAGAAAGAAAACATTGCTGGGGTAGATTTTCTTTTTCCAGCAGAACATTATCCACTGACACATGCCTACACACCCTCAAGCCTCCAGCTTGCAACTGCCACCTGGGACACATTTCAGACCGCTTCTTGATACTGGATTTGCATCTTTACCTGTCCTTGCTGTTCCTGACATGATTGACCTTGGCTCCCTGCTTCCTGAATCTGCCACGTCACTCTATCTATTCTGCTTGCGCTCATCTTTGCTATCCTGTTATAGCCACCGGATTCACCCCTGCCTATGTTCATTCATTCTCATTGTGATCTATCGTCATACTGGCTCTTGCTTCCAAACATGACCCCACTGATGGGTATTCCTATTCACCAATCTCCTGCTCTGGTGGCCGCTGAATCCATCACTCTGGTTACAAGGTCCATAAATTTCCCTGCAACTAGCAATAACTTCTACATTCCAGTCTCCCCAGCTCTTCCCTACCAGGCTAGATTGGCCCAGGGTGAGGCTTACATAAAAGCCCATGGGGAAGAGTAATGTCTCTAGGATTGGGACCTGGGTCATGTCTTATCTAGGCCACATTCTCTGGGGTTCCTCAAATCCAACCTTGCATCTCCACTGTTCATTACCCACAGGCCTAAATTTAGCCAAATTCTGAAAGCTAACAAGAAACAGTACATATTCATGCTGTGCTAGCATAACAATGAGTGTGTACGAAGTGACTTCCTGAGTTCATGTCAAAACTGTGACAAAGTCCTTTTAAGGGGAACTAGGGGAAAAAAAAGTTTTCCCAAGGCTGCATCTTTTTGACAAGATGCACCAGCTCAAATGTAATTTCACTGGATCATATTTACCTAAGGTTTAACTTTAGCAGCAGCAGAGAAAAAAGCAGAGTAAGAGTGGTTTACAGTTGTTCTTTTCCAAGAACTGTTAGGAAAGCCAAGGGTATTACACTAATTTATTCACATTCCACTTTTCTAAAAGATAGTTAAGCCTGGACATGCAAATCCTCCATAGTTGCCTGTAAACCAATGGGGGTGTGAACAATATCACCTGAGTTAATAGGAGAGAGCACGTACTTACCTTTAGCGTCTCATTGAATTCTGGATTGGTGCCTGTTCTGATCTTGGTCTTGCGTTTATTGTTTCTGGACTTGTCAGGAAGAAGATAGGACTTGACATAACTGTAAATGATAAAACATGAAAGTAATTATTGGGAAACATGGACTCTGCCTTACTCTTTTCAGGAATAGTCAGGGGCTTCAGTGAATAAAAGAGGTGAAGGGAAGAGTCCAGCAAACATGAGAAAACCAAAGAGAATATAGTCTACACAGCAGGATACCTTAAACTATAACTCTGGGCCTTCAATAAGAGAAAAATAGCATAGCATAATGATAAAGAGTGGGGGCTCTGGAGTCGACCCAACTAGGTCTGAATCACTCTGTGCCTCACTGGTTTTGGGAAACTCAAGAAATTACTTAGCCTCTCTATAGCTCAGTTTCTGCATCTGTAAAACTGGGATAGTAACAGTAACTTACAGCATCCCATGAATTAAACTGGTTGATACATACAGGGAGCTGACATATTATACTACTCAATAAATGTTATCTCTTCATAGGATCGATGGTCTCACAAAACACCAGAGGGTTGTGTTCCTCTCCATTCAGATGTCAGGACTTAAGATGAGTGGAGTCAACGGTAATGGGTAAATGAAGGAAAATGATGAAAAAGAACTAACAGAACTAACACCCTGATGTCACAATAACAACTCTACACAACACCTTGTGTTGAGCTATATCCCAGGAGTCTCTTGGAGTGGCGGCATCCAGGTCAAGGCAGACACAGAGATGTACAAGACGTAGAAGACTGCAATGTACGAGATCGTGAAGCACGTCTAGATGACTTCTTTCCATGCTACTCTAAATGACTGTTTTGGTCCGAAAGCCGTCTCACAGTTAACTGAGGAAGTAGGTGGACCAAACTAGTCTCAGAATCCACTCAGTGGTCTATCTTAAGACACTTGGAAACAGCTTGAGTTGTTTATTGGATCTAGGTCACCTATTACGAAAGAAAGGAGTAACACAGCTGGCCTCATTTTGCTGTCCTTAGAAATGCTTGCTTACAAGGTTAGCAGTTGGCTGGCATCTAGAAACTGGGATTCCCGGAGGATTCTCATCACTTCCAGAATAGAGAAAGGGGCTCACTGTGACTAAACTATTTGTAAAAATAATATGGCTTATGCAGAGCACCTGCTTTCCTTCCGGGAGACTGGAATTTTGGTATGTGACCAGTCGAGTCTCTAAGTGAGCTTCCTGGGTGGACAGCATTGTACGTGTGCTGCCACAACTTGTTTCTGGAAACATTAAGCACATCCTGTGTAAGTAACTCCAGCGGGAGAGGACACCTGGAGGTTCAAGCCGGGATTCCTTAGACCTTCGCCGCACATGCCTGTTTTCCTTGCTGATTATGACTACGTGTGGAGTCCTGGGAGTCCTCGTAGTAAATCAGCAAACCTGGCAACGATCTTGGGAAGCCCTGACATATCTTTCATCCAGTTCCCTTCCAATGTGTCATGGTCCCCATCTGCCTCCCAGCTGATACCTGCAATCCTGAGAGCCTCAAAATTGTCCTTTTGAGTTATTCAATTGGGTTAACGGCTTGGTGATTTTCTCTGGAGGGTTTCCCAGAACAGGACACTCATACATCCTGGGGTGTGCCCATGTGTCAGCCAGCCTCTATCTCAAAACGCTGCCTCTGTGTAAACTACAAACATGTCAGTCCTGAACCACGGTGACTCGCGGCTTTTTAAAACCTCAGATAATCACACACAAAATCATTATACATACACTTAAGAGACTACTTAGTGTAGCGCAGCAGGAAAGGGACAATCTTCTGAAAAGGCTCTGAATCAGGAGGAATGCTAAGAGTCTTCTGAAACAAAAACGCACATACTGACAAAGGAAGCAGTGACTGAAATAGTCTGAGGAATACACTATGTGCTTACGCATCTGTCCTCTGTTTCTTTTCATCTCCTATGGCCAGATTTCTGCAGTTCTTGACAAAAATGTAGAGCCCGCCGGTTTTGTAGCAGTAGCTGATGTGAAGAAGGATTTCACCACTGACCTTCACGTTGCCATAGTCTCCTGTTTCACTGTAAACACTCATCATGCTGTTAAGGCTGGTCTGGAATAAACAAGATGAAGAGAGGTGTTAATTTCATTGTCTCTTCACAGAAGCCACCCCTTCATTCAATTACAATTCTTATTCGTTATAATGAGCCGGAAAGTGTAGGGCGAGAGAAGAAAGCAAAAATCACTTGTTTTGCTTGTTTGGTGTTTTTTTTTTTTTTCCTGGTACTGTATAAAATCCAAGCCTGGGAAGGGACAAGAAGATTTAAGAAGCATTAGAAAGGAAGGCAGGAGCCTTGCTGAGAAGGGAAACATTTCCTTTCTAGGTAACGGACAGTCTTTGTTTATTCACTTCTAATGAATACAGGGTCACTGAGGCATTGCCAATCCCACATCCTCTCCCGATTCATGTGGCTTTCACCTTTCTCACTGGTAGACTCAAGGTCAGTCTACTTCAAGGTCTAGAATGCATCTATCAGGATAAAGAAAAGCTCGTATATTCCATGCTAGCAGGAGGCACACGTTTTTCTCTCTGATACCCGCAGAGAGCATCCCGTCAGTCTCTGGGAAGCCAAAACTGCAGCTCTGACAAGGGCATGCCAGAAAAACATCATATACCCTCGGCTGCTGGGAATTCCCTGAGCAGTTGTTGTGGTCACATGGGTAGTAGGAGACCAGAACTTTGTAAACCTCTATCAAATAACAACCCATGAAATCGAACAGTAAACAATAAACTAACACACCAACCAACAAATAAACTGCAAAAGCAAAACACTCCAAATGTGCCAGGATGAATAAATGACAAGAGACATATTTAAATTAAATGTAACAAAATTATTCTTTAGTGCCCAAACTGTATCTTGAAAACATGACGGGTCACAAGGGACCACTTGGAAGGCTTTCATGAGTGACCCAATACTTTCAAAAGCCTTCTCTGTGAGCTACTGGGAAGGATTCGAGTAAATACAAAGAGAGCCTAGACTTCCCACTTTTGCAAGTATGCGTAACAAAAGTCCTTACGTTCCTCTAGTTGCTCAGAGCAGAGACGCATCGAAGTATAGGATGTACATGGCTACTATCTCTTCTAGGCTTAAATCTAGGGCTTAAGAATTCGATAATTACTTAGAAATTATAATTTCAAGAGATCCAGTGAGTGATCTAATTTGTCTTTCCCATTCCTAAAGCAAAAAAATGTTCCTAATAACAGGTGGCTTTGAGCAGTGCTTTTCAAACTTTAATCGCACACGAATCACCTAGGGAATCTTGGTCAAATGATGATTTGGATCCAGGTAGTCTCCAGTGGGGACTGAGAGTGCTTTCCTAACAAACGCCTAGGCCCGCAGCTTCCAGAATGTGTACTGAGGCCTCCCAGAATACCACAGCACACGCACAGGGGCACCACAGGATATTTTAAATTCTCAAGGGAAACACAGCGACATCTATCAGACACTGTGCAAACTATTAACAGTAGTTCACGATGTCAACATTAAATCACAATATAGTCTTTTCAGTTAAGTCCTATCGGTGTGAAGCTGAGTTTTTGATAGTTGCTGTGAAAAGAAAAAAAAAAAAGCAAGTGCTGCATAAAAATCAATGTGGAGCAGGAAATAAAAGTGGTGCTGTCCAATCAGATTCCAAGATTTGACAAGTTGCTAAGTGCCCAACAGGCACCCACATCCCACTAGTAAGGAATAAGGGCTATTGAAGAATGGAAGAAAAATATTTTTCATTCAATTTGTGTGTATTATTGTTGCCTGTCTACTAAGTTGTTAGGATAACTGTGCTTATTAAGTTGTTCAACCTGATGTGGAGAACAAAGGCAGAAGAACTACAGAAAAAAATCCAGCCCAGTGAGAAATCTGAGACAGGCAGGGTGACTTTCCTCCAGGAACTCAACCGCCTTGATGTTAATACTTTGCTAGAAGCAAAAGGCAACCTTAGCTTGACATTAGCCTGACCTCCAGGACCCTGTAAGTCTCTAACATAAAAATCCCTTTGGAAAGTTCCTTTATCTCTAGCCACCGCTCCCCCTCCCCATGCACGATATATGTTAGCAAGCATCCTCTAAGAGTATGGCCCCCTGGTACACGTCTGAAGGGTCTCATGACTAAGGTTTTACTAGACATTAGTAAATGATCTTATCTTAACAGCAGCTAGTCCCTCATGGTCCTGAAAATCCTGCTTCCAAATTCCTTAGAGGCCTACACTCTCCCGCACCCCCTCCCAGTTTGAAAGTATATAACCAGTCACTCCTCACAATCCCAGTGCAGCTCTTTCTGCCCACGGGTCCTGTCCCCCTGCTTTTCCAAAAATCACCTTTTTCCACCAGAGACATCTCAATAATTCTTTCTTGGCTGTTCACTCCCAGATCCCAACATTTCACATCACTCACGACTTGATAAATAGGTTGGTCAGGTGTTATTTTTGGCTCAGGAGTGGGATCAAAGAATCACTAGGGGCTCTGTGAACTGACAAAGTGTTAGAGTCTCTGCCCCGGGTGATGCGATGTTGCTGGTCCATGGACTATGCTTTGACTTTCCAGGGCTTCAAGAATAAGCCTCTACTCCCTGTTACATAAGACGAAACTCTGGCCTACAGAAATTATTGGCAGTGCCAAGACATGAAGCAAGATGTCCAGATTTTTAGTCTGAGGACCTCCCTACCATGCCTCCCCACTAAGTTGTGCCTATATCACTTCCCTCAGTAGTCACATTTTCAAGAAGGTCCTCAGTAAGCAGAGGGACCCTATAGATAGAAGAAAATTTAGGAACCCACAAATGCTGGAGCCTGGGAGAAATTAAGGCAATTTTGCCACTAACCAAACTGTATGCTCTTAGCCAAGTTTATGTGATTTAAAATAGAGATATTAATGGGGTGCCTGGGTGGCTCAGTTAAGCTTCCAACTTTGGCTCACGTCACGATCTCACGGTTTGTGGGTTCGAGCCCCACGTCGGGCTGTGTGCTGACAGCTCAGAGCCTGGAGCCTGTTTCAGATTCCATGTCTCCCTCCCTCTCTGACCCTCCCCTGCTCATGCTGTCTCTCTCTCAAAAATAAATAAAAAACATTAATTAAAAAATTAAAAAAATAGAGATATTTATTTTAAAACGGTTTCATTAACGGTAAATCATTTTGAACCATGTGTCTTTTGACTGGCACTCAGATTCCAATATTTAATGAAATTTTCTTTCCTTGGACTACTTGGATTCTGATAATGTTGCCCATCCTTTAATTAACTCTCGTTAACTGCACACAAGTCCCAAAAAGATAAATGCTGGAAAATGTGCCCGCCTAATCAGATTTCCTGTATCGTGAAATTTGGGAAGTATGGTTGGAAAGAAGGAAAAGGAAAGACTGAAAACTCACAGTGTCAGAGTCAGCATCAGGGACATTCAGGTAGGTCCACTTCCTGTCAGAGACTGCTTGAGAATTCTTTAAGAAAGTCGCCCAAAGGTCAAAAGGAAAAAGAGTATTAGAGCAACAGACAGAAATCAGAGAAGCAGAGAAAAAGACCTACAGGCATATACACATAGTTGGATATGAGGACACAGGGGCTCCTAAAGCCTACTTCTCAAGCAAAGCCTTGAACGTGAAAGTAAGAAGGGACTATATTCTACAGGCAGTGAAAAGCTATGGACAGTGTCTGAGTAGGAGAGAAACCTGAGTGGGTATGTATTTTAGGAAAACGACTAGCGGCAGCATGGTGGACAGTTGGGAAGTTGAGAGACTGGGGAGAGGAACGTAAATGTCTCAGCAGAGAGCTACAACAGTGTGTAGGCTTGAGGTGATCAGAGTCTGAACTGGGGAGTGAAGACGTGAACTGGGTGACGACCATGGAAGGAAAAGCCCATACAAAATTAGACCAAAAAGTTCTCCATGGGCAAAAGGCAAGTAGGTGATTATGACGACTTCTAACTCACTATCACACATATTCCTAAGAACGCTCCTATCTCCTTTGAAAAAAGTGCAGAAAATCAACAAGAGAAAGAAGAAACTTCCAGTCACAGGCTAGATAACTGCTTACGGTTGAAAGGCCACTTGCTAGACTGTGGGTGTTTGCAGAAAACCGTGAGGACCTTAAGTCATTAATGCCTTCCCCAGTCTCTTCCAAGGAGTCCTAAGGAAGGAGAAAATCAGTGCTTTAGTTTATTTCTTTCCTAGAAAGAGTTTTCACTTCCAAAACCACTTTTTTTTAAATACCTGAAAGTTTTAATACAAATATCTGTAAATCACCTTATTCTGAGTTTTTCTCTTTTGCTATCCATTCAACATGAATTATTTCATCAGAGGATTGGGGTCTCCTTCCTAGTGGTGCTTGTTTTATGAAAAGGACACGAAATTTAGAGTCACACAGACCTGGGTGTTCAATTTCTACCTCCCTGATCTCTAAGCTTTGGGCAACGTACTTAAATTATTTACCTAAAAAAAAATTGGGTTTACACATGTGTGTATACTGTCAAGATAGGGAAAGAGATCTTAAAAATCTCTCCAACAGAATTAAACTATTTTAGATATTGGATTTTTGTCCAAAATTCCGGATTCTGCTTTTCTTCTCCTACATGATAAAGTGGCTTTTTCCTTTGGTCAATCAAGCAATGCATTTTTACAGTAAAAATTTTCAAACAATATAGATAAATTTAAGTTAAACTCAGGACTCCCACTAATATCTTAATGATCAAATTTCAATAGTTTTATGATATGTACACACACGCCTACATATGCAACCACACATAAATGGACCATATCATGCATACTTTTTTTTTTTTTTTTTTTAAATAAACACCTTTCATTTTTGGTTCTCTCCTCTGTCTCCTCTCACCCCAGGTCAAACTAATATCTTATATATTCTATTCCATAGCTCCTTGTTTATGTGAAAAATTGTATAAAATTGTGCACACATGAATCTGAATAGTCATACGTAAGAATTTCCTTTAACCATGGTGTTATAAATTGAGATTATTTTATGTATATAATTCTGCCCTTTAAAGTAAAAAATAATTCTAAAATCTGACACATGTAAAAAAGTACAAACATAAATGTATGATATAATAATATTTAGTGACTGAGTAGAAGCCCCCTTTGTGCTCTGTCCATATCACAAACCCCTTTCGCCCATCTTTAAAATAATATCTTAACTCTTACGGTAATCACATCCTTGCTTTTCTTTATACTTCTACCACCTAAGCATTCATTCCTAAATAATATATTGTTTTCCCTGTTTCTGAATTGTTTGAAAATGGAATTAAATGTAACAGGCTATTTTGTGCTTTGCCTCTTTGTCTCGACATTATAGTCTTTTAAGAGTCACCCAAATCGTTGCATATTGTTAACATTTGTTCATTTTTATTTATTTATTTATTTAGTCAAGGGTATCATATCCTACACTTTATCCATTTTCTGTTGCTAAATATTTGGATTGTTTCTAGAGTTTTTCTATTATTAACAAATTTGCTATGAATATTCTTTTTTGGTTATTTTTAATTTTTTTTTTATTTTGAGAGAGAGAGCACGCGCAAAAGCGAGAGTGCGTGGGTGCACATAAGCAGGGGAGGGGCAGAGACAGGGAGAGACCGAATCCCACACCCACTCCATGTGCTGTCCTTGCAGAGCCCACTGCGGGGTTCCAACTCATGAACTCATTCATTCCCCCACCCGTCTGCTCTGGCAATCACTAGTTCTTCTTTGTACTTATAGGTCTAATTCTGCTTTTTATTAGTTTATTCATTTGGGGTTTTTTTTTTGGTTACACATATAAGTGAAATCATATTTGTCTTTGTCTTTTTTTCACATAGAATTATGCCCTCTAGGTCCATCTGTGTGTGTAAGTGTACAGATGTATGTGTATACACATATTTATACACATACACACCACATCATCTTTATCCACTCATCCATGGATGGATAGTTAGAGGCTTATCTTGGCTATTATAAACAATGCTACAATAAATGTAGGGATGCATAGATCTTTTCAAATTACTTTTTTATTTGGATAAGTACCGACTAGTGGAATTATTGGATCATATCAAAATTCCATTTTTAAGTTTTTGAGAACCCTCCACACTGTTTTCACAGAGGCTGCATCAGTTTGCATTCCCCCCAAGAGTGCATGAAGGTTCCTTTTTCTCCACATCCTCATCAATGCTTGTTATTCGTCTTTTTGATTCTAGCCATTGTGATAAGTGTAAAGTGACAATTCACTGTGGTTTTAATTTGCATTTCTCTGATGATTAGTGACACTGTGCTTCTTTTCAAGGGTCTGCTGTAAATCTGTATCTCTTCTTTGGAAAAATGTTTATTAAGGTCACCTGCTCACTGTTTAATTGTCCTTTCCCTCCAGTGTGGAGTTGTAGCACTTCTCTATATAGTTCAGATATTAACCCCTTAATGGATACAACGTTTGCACATATATTCTCTCATTCAGTAGGTTGCCTTCTGTGTGTTGTTGATGGCTTCCTTCATGGGACAAAAGCTTGTTATTTCGGTGTAGTCCCAACAGTTTCATTTCGCTGCTGTTTCCCTTGCCTGAGGAGACATACCTAGAAAAATGTTTCTACAGCAGATATGAAAGAAATTACTTCCTATGCTTTTTGTTAAAAGGCTTATGGTTTCGGATCGCACATTTACGTCTTTCATCCACTTTAAGTTTATTGTTGTGTATGGTGTAAGAAACTAGTCCCGTTTCATGGTTTTGCATGTTACTGTCTAGTTTTCCCAGCATCATTTGTTGGAAAGACTGTCTTTTCCCCATTGCATATTCTTGGCTCCTTTGCAACAGATTAATTGACCACAGAAGTGTGGGTTTATTTCTGGACTCCACATTTTGTTCCATTGACCTATTTTTGTGCCAGTGCCATATTGTTTTATTACGGATTTGTAGTATATCTTGAAATCTGGGATTGGGATACCTCCAGGGTTTTTTTTTCCCCCCACAAGACTGCTCTGGCTACTCAGGGTCTTTTGTGGTTCCATACACATTTTAGGATTATTCGTTCTAGCTCTGTGAAAAATGTTGTTGGTATTTTGGTAGGGATTGCATTAAATCCGTAGATTGCTTTGGGTAGAATGAACCTTTTAACAATACTGGCTCTTCCACTCCACGAGCATAGAAGATCTTTCCATTTGCTTAAGTCCTCTCCTCTTTAATTTCTTTCAATACTGTTTTATAGTTTTCAGAGTATAGGTCTTTTACTTCCTTGGTTTAGTTTATTTCCAGGTAGTTTTATTCTTTGTGGTGTAACTGTAAATGGGATCATTTTCTTAATTTCTCTTTCTGCTACTTATTAGTGTATAGAAATGTAACAGATTTCTAGGTATTAATTTTGTATCCTGTGACTTTACTGAATTCACTTACTAGTTCTAATAGTTTTTTGGTGGGGTCTTACAGGTTTTCTATATACAGTACCATGTCATATGCAAATAGTGAGCATTTTACTTCCCATCAATTTGGATGCCTTTTGTTTCCTTACTGTTGTAGCTAGGACTTGCAGTACTATGTTGAATAAAAGTGGTGAGAGTAGACATCTTTGTCTTGTTTCCGATCTTAGAAGAAAAGCTCTCAGTTATTTACCATTGAGTATGATGCTCACTCTCAGTTTTTTCATCTATGGCCTTTATGTGGTGATATGTTCCCTCTAATCTCCCTCTGTTCAGAGTTTTTATTATGAATGGATATTGTACTTTGTCAAATGCATCTGATGTTCATATGATTTTTTCCTTTGTTTTGTTAATGTGATGTATCATGTTAATTGATTTGTAAATAGTGAACCACGCATGCATCCCTGGGATAAATCCTACTTGATTGTGGCTAATTATTTTTTAAAGTTTATTTATTTATTTTTGACAGAGCAAGCAGAGGAGGAGGAGAAATAGAGGGAGAGAGAGAATTCCAAGCAGGCTCTGCACTATCAGCACAGAGCCCGATGTGGGATTCGAACTTAGGAACTATGAGATCATGACTTGAGCTGAAACTAAGAGTCAGATGCTTAACCAACTGAATCATCCAGGCACCCCGTGGAGAATTATTATTTAAATGTATTGCTGGATTTGGTTTACTAATATTCTATGGAGGATTTTTGCATCTATGTTCAGCAGAGATATTGGCCTATAGTTTTCTTTTTGTAGTGTCTTTATTTGGTTTTGTTATCAGTGTAATGCTGGCCTTGTAGAATTAATTTGAAAGTTTTCTTCCTCTTCGAGTTTTTGGAAATTTTGAGAAAAACTGGCATTAATTCTTCTTTAAATATTTGGTAGAATTCACCTGCAAAGCCATTTGTTCTTGGACTGTTGTTTGTAGGGAGTCTTTTAATTACTGGTTCAATTTGATTGTTACTAACTGGTCTGTTCAAGTCGTCTATTTCTTCTTGATTCAGTTTTGGTGTTGAAGTCCTTTACTTTTTGTTTATCTGGGAAACTCTATCTCTTTTTCAGTTATGAATCACTTTGCTGAGTATTCTTGGTTGTAGGGTTTTTTTGAATTTTTGAATTTCCTTTCAGCACTTTGAATATATCATGCCACTCCCTTCTGGCTTGGAAAGTTTCTGATGAAAACACAGCTGATAGGCACATGGCATTACCCTTGTATGTAACTATTTTCTCTTGCTGTTTTTAAAATTCTCTGTCACAATTTTTTCCGTTTTAATTATTATATGTTTTAATATGGACCTCTTTGGGTTGATTTTATTGTGGACTCTCTGTGCCTCTGTGATGTGGATGCTTGTTTCCCTACCCAGATTTGGGAATATTTCAGCTATTATTTCTTTAAATAACTTTTCTGCTCCCTTTTCTCTCTCTTTTTCTTCTGGGATCCCTATAATGCAAATGTTATTATGCTTAATGATGTCACTGAATTCCTATAAGCTATTCTCATTTTGTAATATTTTTTCTTTTTTGCTGTTCACCTTGGTTACTTTCCATTACTTCGTCTTCCAGATGGTAGGTTTGTTCTTCTTCATATTCTAATCTGCTGTTGATTCCCTCTAGTGTATTTTTAATTTCAACTATGGAGTTTTCTAGGACCAGGAATAGTTTAATCATGTTGGAATTAGCTGTTCTTTAAAGGTTGAATACAAGTAAGCTTTGAAACCATTTGATCTTATTGCCCCAACCCCTTTTGTGGTAGATTTTAAAATACTTTCCAGGTTTGTTTTTTTTTTTTCCTCTAGTAAATAACAGTGAGCTTTAGAACCAAGTTTCCTGGCTTGCTATGGAAAATTATACTACTGCCATTTAAAATGTGTTTTATAACTCTCTTTCAAAGAGTTAATATTGCATTATAGCAATTACAGAAATCAGAATATCAAGGTATTAGAACTAGAAGGAACCTTAAGAATAATTTAAATCAACCTTTCATTTTAAAAATGAGTTCACTTAAATATTAATTTTTACATAATTTAATCTCAGCTATGAAGGTAGTTTATTAGGGGTAACTTGAGATGTACAAATGTTCATATAAAATATATAGTCAGATAAATCTAGTAATATATGACTTAGAAAATGATGGGATCCTTCATTTTCCAGGCTTAGATTAAGTGATGTTAAACCAGTCATTGAAATCCCTAACAGGTATTTTTTTAATTTATAATCTTCACCCATTAACCTGATTACCAGCTAACTTTTCTAAATAATTTTCCTCTTTTTTTTAATTGAGAGAGAGAGAGAGAGAGAGAGAGAGAGAATCTTAAGCAGGCTCCACACCCCACACAGAGCCTGATGACATGGGGCTTGATCTCACAGCCATGAGATCATGACACGACCTGAAATCAAGAGTTGGACTCAACTAACTGAGCCAGGAGCCCTTCTAAATCATGCTTTAGTTGCTTTTATACATTCGTTGTGAAGACGAGTAGAAACAGATTATCATATATCTTCACTTTATTCTCACCTAAAAGCAGGAAGGTTTGGAACAAGACTGTGTGCCCTTTCCTCATGATCATTAGACTTTCTTCCACATCCAACTTACCAAGTCTTTGTCTAAAGCTCCAGGGACAGACTTGCTTCTTATGTTTACAGCATTCTCCAAGTCTTCTTGAAATGACCCACTCAAATCTAACTCAGATCGACTGTGGTCTGGAGGAAGGGAGAGCAAAGGAGAGACATCAATCAGCTTATTTTGTTAGAAGACTTCATTTTTTTCAATGTTTGTTTATTTTTGAGAAAGAGTGTGTGAGCTGGGGAGGCGCAGAAAGAGAGGGGGGCAGAGGACCTGAAGCAGACTCTGCACCAGCAGCAAAGACCCGGATGCAGGGCTCAAACTCACAAACCATGAGATATGACCTGAGCTGAAGTCAAACGCTTAACCAACTGAGCCACCCAGGTGCTACAGTCTCATTTTTCATTGCAAATGTTTTATCATTATTTCCATTCTTCTAGGCACAGGGCATGGAATGTCAAGAAAGCAAGTCAGAGTAACTTCATGCTGTTTATGCTAATGTACTTTTTTAAAATAGTATTTTGAAATTTTCTTTGACTGCATTATCACACCGATGCATTCATTTCACTTTTGATTAAAGGAAGTTAAAGGTTCTATTGTAAAATGTAAATGTTTAGGCTGGTTAAGGCTTCTGTTTTTCTTATAGGCTGAACAACTCTCATAGAATGGGGCCTCAAAATACAATGAGCCCTTAGAAAAAAATAAAGCATTAATCCTTCTTGATTTACATATCTAGAGAATTCACTGTGTTTTTGTATTTGACACAAAATGCTATTAAATGACATAACAAATTTCTTTCATATAATAAGGAAGTGGCCATAGGTACATTGAGAGGAAGTTCCATTTCTTTAGGCACTAGAACATTCTTTTGTCAGAGGAACATTTTGTTTTTAAAAATGTAATTGTTTAATTTTTCGTTTAATTTTTATTTATTATTATTTTTTTTGAAAGAGAGAAACAGAGAGACTGAATGGGGGAGAGAGGGAGAGCAAGAGAGAAAGACAAAATTTTAAGCAGGCTCCACACTCCGCACAGAGCCTGATGTGGAGGACAATCTCATGACCACGAGATTTGGACCTGAGCCAAAATCAAGAGTCAGATGCTTAATCGACTGAGCCACCCAAGTGCTCCTTAAAAATGTAATTTAAAAAACAATGTACCACTCAGTAATGCTGTAGACAATTTACTAAGACAAAGTTCATTTACACAGAGCAGTTCTATGTCAAAGCCCTGCCGGGATAGATATAGGTGTTCATCATGAGAAAGATTCAAGAAAGCAAGCTCGTAGTGGAGTTTGAAATGGTAAATTAAACACTGAAGAAGTGCTTACCGCAGTGCCTGACACAGAGTATATACTCAAAACACAAGAGCTGTTGACTAGAAGTAGTAGAAATACAATCTGTGAGGTTGGCTTGTAGACTAGTTTAAAATTTTTCTTTTAACAGGAGAAACAATTTTGCAGTCCTGAACAAAACGGAACAAGAACCACATATATTTAGAAAACCCTTCGTGAGCTACGGGACTAGGAAAGACTCCTCCACTCAGCACACAGAATCTAGCCTCAGGCCTTATGCAAATGTCATCATTAGGTAACTGTTAACTTTCCCATGTTGAGGATTTTGTCGTGATTTTAATTCTACACAAGGGACCATGGCAAATTTCTCTAAAGAATTTTCTTATTCATAGGTAATAAAATTGCAATGTAAATAACACCTGCTTCACAAGGTTGTTGTGACGGAGAAGTGAAATGGTATACAGTATTTGAATGTACCATCCAAATGAAAAGGGTCATTACTCACTTTAATGCTGACTGCAAGTAACTTTTTATTTAAACCACAGGATGATAAGTCTTTCTAGATATAGGGCATTTTAGACCACCATGTCTACTGAAATGTCATTTCCTTGAATTCTGGAAAAGTGTCTTTATCTTTCTACCAAATGAACCAACTGTATTTCCTACACTCCTATACTGATGTTTGGTATAGCTCTGAAACTTGGCAGTGATGACTGACAAGTATATACACTTAATAAATGGGTTTTGCATGAAAGCAAGAGGATCAAGGCATCACCTGGGCCCACATTTAAGCTGTTCTTATGGAAGAGACCTACCATCACGGGTCAAGGTACAGATGATTACTTTCTAAAGCATGAAATACCCATTTAATATCACACAAGACTGTCAATTCCAAATGATTTAGTCCAGGGCACCTGGGCGGCTCCATCAGTTAAGCTTCCAACTCTTGATTCTGGCTCAGGTCATGATCTCAAGGTTCATGAGATGGAGTTCTGTGTCAGGCTCTGCAAGAACAGCAGAGTCTGCTTGGGATTCTCTCGCTCCTCTCTCTCCTTCTCCCCTGTGTTCACATGCGCGCGCTCTCTCTCTCAAAATAAACAAACAAACAAACTTAAAAAAGAGTAGTCATGCTGCGAATGCCCACCTGAAGAGAGGGAGACCTCAGACACAGCTATGGAAGGTGTGCCAGAAGTGTTTCTGCGATGACTCTTTGTGAGGTCCTCAGATGTGCTTCCAAGGGCAGCCAAATCCATGGACTTTTCAAAGACACGTTCCTTCTCACCAAGTAAAAATGAAAAAAGAACACTATAATGACTGTAATTTACTTTAAAATCATACGAATAGACTTCAGTAAAACCACACTCAGGTTGTATTACTCTTTAGGAGGGGCTAGTTAACATGGGAGGGGTGCCTCATCAGGAATCCATATAACTCTAAAGCTTACTATCAATAATCACGCTATACAATCCATTGGTTAATTACGACAAAAGTTGTTCAAAGTAATTTTACATTCACAAACCTGCGAGTGTTCTGATATATGATTAGCAAGACAGTTAATGCAAGGATAACCCTGGTCTTAAATGAACTCTATGTAAGAATACGGCTGTCTTCACATCCTCGGAGGAAGATGCGGGCTTAGTATTCTGTTTTCTCCAGTGTTTGTCCCCACTCTCAAAATTCTCTTTCCTCAAGGACCCCTTACCTCCTCCACACCCATTCAACAGATGACCATGACCTGCAATCCAGGTTAACACATGGCATAGAAGGGACCCCAGGATACTTACTGCCCCAGCCTTGTGCACAAGTCTCTTCTGAGCGCTCAGTGCCTGTGCCATACCAGTTACTAAATATTCTGAGTATCATTCCTTGTTAAGTTGCCCCCAAAGTAAGGGTAATCGTCAACTATCAATGCACTTTTCTGGCTACTGAACAGTACTGCTTGCTGAGCATAGTACAAATATTTAAAAACGTTAAATCTGCCTTTTAACTTACCAGCAAGTACAATTCAGACTGTAAGTATTTAAAGAAATCTTCTATTTTTACTCAGTCTGTCTGAATGCCTTTTGGCTTTTCCTTAAAAATATTTATAGAATCTGGCTGTTCACAGCCTCTGCTGTTTTTTTTTTTTAAGTTCATAATTTATCTTTCTGAAGTTGCGTTATAGGAAGAGTTGCTATTTTAAATAAATATTTAGTTTTTATATTCAGTATTTAGGTAATAACTATTTTTAGTGAAGTATCATTGCCATGTAATGTTAGTTTCAGGTAGATAACATAGTGATTCAACAATTCTGAGCATTATGCAGGGCTCACTATAATACGTGTTGTCACCATCTGTCACCATACAATGTTATTACAATATTATTGACTATATTCCCTATCCTCTACTTTTCATCTCCATGACTCGTTTATTTTATAAATAGAAGTTTGTACCTCTTAATCCCCTTCCCCTATTACACCCATCCCTCATTCCCCTCTCCCCTGGCAACCACCAGTCTGCTCTCTGTATATATGAATCTGTTCCTGGTTTTGTCTTGGTTTGTTCATTTATTTTGATTTTTAGATTCCACATTTAAGTGAGATTATGTGGTATTTTGCTCTCTCTGTCTGACTTCCCTTAGCATAATACCCTCTAAGTCCATCCATGTTGTCACAAGTGGTACGAGCTCATCCTTTTGTATATATGAACCACATCTTCTTTATCCATTCACCTAAGGTGGACGCCAGGGCTACTTCCATATCTTGGCTATTGTAAATAATGCCGCAACAGACATAAGGGTGCGTGTATCTTTCTGAATTAGTGTTTTCCTTTTCTTTGAGTAAACAGCCAGCCAGTAGCACAATTGCTGGGTCGTAGGGTACTTCCTTCAATTGTTACGTTTCTGAGGAACCTCCAGACTGCTTTCTACAGTGGCTGCACTGCACCGGCGTGCAGTCCCACCAACAGTGTACAGGACTCACAGGCTCCACTTCCAGCTCCTTGTTCCGAAGCCTGGCGTCTCACCTGCAGTAAGACAATGGCTTCCTAACTGGTCTCTTGGCTTCTCCACTTGTTCCCCTACAGCTGCTTCTCAGCACAGCCTCCAGATCCTCTGTAAAGAGAAGCCACATCTTCTGCCTACTTTTTAACTGGATTAGGTTTTGGGTGTTGAGTTGTCTAAGTTCTGTACATATTTTGGATTACGGACATCACACTCCTCATGACGAGCACCAAGTGTGTACGGAAGTGATGAATCACTATACTGTACCCCTGAAACTAAGATAATACTGTGTGTTAACTATACTGGAGTTAAAAAAAAAACAAACCTAATAAAACATAACAAAAAAGAAAAAAGAAGCCACATCATGTCACTCTTCTGCTCAATATCCTCCAACGGTCCCCAGTTTATTCCAACTAAATGTCAAAGTGCACACAGCGGTCAGTCCCTATTACCTCTCTGAGCTCACTTCCTACTCCTCTGCCATTTGTTCATTTGCAACAGCCAAACTGGCCTCCTTGTTCTTCCTTAAACATACCAGGCATGTTCCCACTTCAGAGTCTTAGCACTGGATGTTTCTCTAGGGGCTTTAAAAGTATTGTAGACACTGGTTGGACAGTGAATTGACCATCCAAGAGGGAGGCCAGCCGTAAGTAACTGGAACGGCCTTCCCAGTATGTGTACCTGCCGAATATCAGTGCTGTCCCTGCCTGGAGGGACACCTTGCTCCAAACCCGTGCATGGCTAATTCTTTCATTTCAAGTCTTTGCTTGACCAGGACCAAGATTACTTAAATATAGATGTCAGCTCTATGTATGGAGTTTCCCACTTAAACAAAATCTCTAGGCGCTCATTCATTCAAAAGAACTTCTAGCTAGCTAGCTACACACACACACACACACACACACACACACACACACACACACGCATGTATATATGTACACGTTTGTTAACTTTTGAGAGACAGTGTGTGAGCAGTGGAGGGTCAGGGAGAGATGGGGACAGAGGATCCAAAGTGGGGTTCTGTGCTGACAGCAGAGGGCACGATGCAGGGTTTGAACTCTCGAATCATGAGTTCATGACCTGAGTGGAAGTCAGAGAGCCCTAATGGACTGAGCCACCCAGGCACCCCATATTCTATATATTTTTTATGTATAATGCAATTTAAGTCTTTATGGTGTATTGATCCCTAATTTTAACAGATGTATATAAAGGAAAACTATTGAAATATTTCAAGATCCTACTTTTCCTGATTTAAATCAGTCTAGAAAAGTTTTAGTGTAGTTAACTTATGAATATCTTGACAAATAACATGGAAGATCAAAATAGGAGACCTCTAAACATTACTTCCATTTTGTTTAAGCAGCACAGCCATTTAAGCCGCCATCATACAAATACCACCTCTGAACCTGCTCCTTCCCTTTCCTTCACATTTCTGGCTTCCCACCCAGAGCTAAGGGTGCAGGAGGTTGAGTTCTGATAACCAAGCTTCTACCATTAAACAGCATAAACAACGTGCTTCGAGATCCCGAGAACTCACACCCAACCAGACAATGGTGGTGAGGCCAAGTCTCGGAAGTTGGGTGTCCTTTCACATTTGTGCACTTACTCTACTGCCGACCGAGGTCGCGCTGCGTGTGCTTGGAGCCGGTGACCTCTGCGTGACTGGGGTCACACCACTGCTCCGGCTGCTCTTCGGAGTTGCCGGGCCAGCTTCCTGGTCATAAAGGTCTGATGAACCAGTGCTTCCCCTAAATGAGAAAGAATATTCTGACTTTAACTAGGAAGCAGATCAGCAAGCAAAGACACAATCATGGAAAAGCTACCGACAAAATGATGATGACATGTAACCCCCCGAGGCACACTGCAGCCACCCTGGAATTGGTTGCTTTCTTCCTCAAAGACTCACTAGGTTCAAGCTCATTTGTCTGACTCCAGGGTTTCTGTAATTGACCTTCACGTGACCGTTCCAGCTCTACTTCCTACAGCTCACCAGCATTCTCCCACCTGTGCAGGTGCTCTCCTCTCCTCTCCCACCACTCATGGCACCCCCTCCGGCTTTTGCTCTCATTCTTACCACCTGCTATGCTCTATTTGCCACTCTCTGCTTATGCAAATCTTCCCCGTCCTTCAAGGCCCAGATGAAAGCCATCCTCCCCTATGAGGCCCTTCCTGTCATCTACAAGCCTTGCCAACCTCTTCTCTGTTCCATTCTTCTTGATTTACAGTCTTTGCCAAACTATGTAGCACTTCAATCCAGAACGTCTTATTTGGCTTCCAAGTGATCCACCAAAATGGCCCCTGTTGCCTCTTTCAACCGGAGCTCTTTGGGGACAGAGTTCTTGGCATATTTACCACGTTATCTCTACCACCGTCATAAATGCCTTGGTGCAAAGGAGACACTCAGTACATATTTAATCAAAGAGTGGAAATTACATTTTATTTCCCTATGTTGTTTTAGCGTCTGACTCATGGTACACATTTAATAAATGTGGTATAAAAATAATGACATTTGGTAAATGGGCTTGACTCACTTTGTTTGCTAAAACTGATTCAATTCCATTCAATAATGATTAATTTAAAAAAAAAAATAGTTCCTGACTTTGAGGTGATCACAGTTTTCATCTTACATGGAGTTTTGTAAGTAGGTATAAGTTTTGGCAAATTAGATTTTAAGAGAAGCGTTTGTTCTATTTTATTCTTTATCCTGGGTGAAACACAAAATACACGAAGTGGTAAAATATAAGCCTTTGCGGATTTCACTATTTGACTTACTCTTTAGTAAGTTATAAGTGCATCTATAATAATAAACATGTTATTGTTAAAGCCTAGAATTGATAGGTAATAGTGATTAGAACTTACATTTGAGCCAATCAGAAAAAGATATGCAAAAGAACAGAGGAAAGGTGTTTTGTTTTTTAAAAGAATGTCTGACTATGCATGTGACATTACTGGAAGACAAATCTGGCAGAAGAAAGAATTGGCAATGACCCCTGCACTATCAACCACAGCTCATAACTTTTTCAGGGCTGTACCCCAGAGAGACCACCAAAATCAAATCAAATATGCCCTGATTTATACTCCTGGCTACCACCACCCTCAAAAATTATGCAAAGAGAAGCTGTATTTACTGAGTATTTTCTAGGTGTTTGACACTTACCATGTCCCAACATCCCAGTAAAAGAAAATAAATAAATAAAAATAATAAATTCTTATTTTAAAGATGAGAAAACTGAATCCTAAAGAGGTTAAACAACTGTTCCATATATGTAGGCATGGGTGTGTGTACACGCACAACACACACCACCACCACCACACTGTCACACAGTTCGTACATAATCAAGTCAGGATAAAAAGTGAAAATTGCCTGCCTACTCAAAGTCTGTGCTCATTCTAGTTTCTCCTACTGCTTACTCATCATTCACCAAGATCATATTGATAGAACCAGGCTGCTATCAAGCAGAAAACAATTCAAGGGTCAGAGAACTGGGAGTTAGTTTCTTGGAATCTGATGAAAAGAACTAAAAGTTCTCTGGGTAGCATTTGTTTGATACCACATAGAAACAGTCTCTGGCTTCTTCCTCTAGAGAGGGCACTCTGAATGAATTAAAGACTGCTCAGGAGGGGTCTAGGATTGTGTCTTGATCCTGACAAGAGAATCGAGTTTGGGGATGAAATAAATTGATATAATCTGAAATTCGAAGGTCCTTGGAGAACTTCCTGAGCCCTCCAAGCTCAGGTGCTACACTTCTACCCCTGACAACAGTTAAGCATCCATGTGATTTTGCTCATCTCAGAAGTCCTACTTAGAAAGGTCTTAGAGACCTACCCAGGAACACTGTGGCAGAACCACAAAAATTTCTCTCCCTACTATTTTAGGTAAAATCTCCTTTAAGAAGGAAAGGCTAGACATGAATCTTGTAGAAATGAGCCAAGAAGTTAGGATCATGTAGATACATCTGCCTACGCCTGTCCTGAAGGTTCTTCTTGACCCAGGTGGTTTTGAAAAAGTCCTACTTATGTAGAAGCTCTGGCAGAAGTTGATTAATTGTGGTGATGACATTCAAGAGGCTAGCCTGTAATAAGAAAAAAATTCTTTTAAGTCAGTTACTAGAAACTGTTGCCAGAAGCATTGTATCAAAAATGACATATAATTCCACATTTGTCCCTGACATTTACTGTGAGCTTCTCAAAAATGTTTCCCTCTCAGTCGGTTATTTCAGTTGGTTAGACTAAAAAAGATTTAGTCTGATGAGGCAGAATATCATAAATAGTTGGGTGCCAACTCTTAGAGATGTTATATAAAATATGACACAAAATATATAAATCGTTGCCGCTTAATTAGGAAGAGGATAAAGGAAGTCTAAATTCAAGAAGTTTAAAGTTCACTTAAGATATTTTTGGGAGGCAGAGGATCTGAATAGATATCTCCCCAAAGAAGGCATACATATGGCAGACACATGAATAGATACTCACCATCACTAATCATCAGGGAAACACAAATTAAAACCACAACGAGATCTAACCTCACAATGGTCGAAACAGCTAGAATCAAAAAGACAAGAAAAGGGCACCTGGGTGGCCCAGTTGGTTAAGCATCCAACTCTCAATTTTGGCTCACGTCACAATCTGTCATGAGATCGAGCCCGCATGGGGCCCCATATCCAGCTCCACATTGGACATGGAGCCTGCTTAAGATTCTCTCTCTCCCTCTCCCTCCGCACCTCCTCTGCATGCTCTCTCTCTCTCAAAAAAAAAAAAAAAAAAAAAAAAAAGACAAGAAATACACAAGAGTTGGGTGAGGATATATAGAGAAAAGGGAGACCTTGTGCACTATTGGTGGAAATACAAATTGGTGCAGCCACTGTGGAAAGCAATGTAGAGGTTCCTCAATAAATGAAAAGTGGAAATACCATATGGTCCAGTAATACCACTCCTGGGTATTTACCCAAAGAAAACAAAAACATTAATTCAAAAAATATATGCACCCTTAAGTTTACTGCAGCATTATTTACAATAGACAAGATATTGAAGCAGCCCAAATGACTACTAATAGATGAATGGATAAAGAAGATATCGCATACAGATAATGGGATATTACTCAACCATAAAAAAGAATGAGATCTTGTCATCTGTGACACCATGGATGGACCTAGAGGGTATAACGCTAAGTGAAATAAGTCACAGAAAAACAGCATATGATTTTAGTCATATGTGGAATCTAAAAAACAAACGAATAAACAAAGACACAAAAAGGAGAATCAGACCCATAAACACAGCAAACAAACTGGTGGCTGCCAAAGGGGAGGGAGTGGGAGGATAGGCAAAGAGTGAAGGAGGGTGGGACATAAGGGCTTTCAGTCGTAGAGCAAGTCACAGGAACAAAAGGTACAACACAGAGAACAGAGTCCACGGTACTGTAATAGTGTTGCATGGTGACAGACGGTAGCTACACTTACAGTGAGCACAGCATAACATGCAGAGTGGCTGAATCACCGTTGTACACCTAAAACGAATGTGACACTGTGTGTCAACTATACTTAAGAAATGAAAGAGCTATTTTTGAATCAGATCTCACGTTACTGATACTTGGAAGTGTTAGAAATCAGTGTCGACAAAACTGCAAGCTAAAATTTGCTTAAAGGGAAACTGACAAGAAAGAGAGACATTTTTCCTGTTCTAGTAGGGCCCAAACACTGGAGATATGACACTCCCTGGGGAGCTGGGACATCCCAGGTTACCTGAAAGACACATTGCCTAGAGTAGGAAACAGTCCCATTTACTTTAGCTTATGAAATATACTTTAAAAGCCTTCCATTTAGTTATCTCTAATTTCATAATGGCCCAAAATCTGTTTTTTTCTTTTATAGTTTGTCAAGTTGGTTTCCATAGAACACCCAGTGCTCATCCCCACAAGTGCCCTCCTCCATGCCCATCACTCCCCTTGCCCACCACACCCACCCCCCCCCAACAACCCACAGTTTGTTCTCAGTATTTAAGAGTCTCTTATGGGGGGCGCCTGGGTGGCTTAGTCGGTTAAGCGTCCGACTTTCACTTAGGTCAGGATCTCGCGGTTTGTGGGTTCAAGCCCCGCGTCGGGCTCTGTGCTGACTGCCAGCTCGGAGCCTGGAGCCTGTTTCAGTCTGTGACTCCCTCTCTCTCTGACCCTCCCCTGCTCACGCTGTCTCTCTCTCTCTCTCTCTTCTAGAAATAAATAAAACATTAAAAAAAAAAAAAAGAGTCTCTTATGGTTTGCCTCCATCTCTCTCCTTAACCATTTTCCCCCATCCCTTCCCCCCACAGTCCTCTGTTAAGTTTCTGCTGTTCCATATATGAGTGAAAACATACGGTATGTGTCCTTCTCTGCCTCACTTATTTCACTTAGCATAATACCCTCGAGTTCCATCCACATTGCTACAAAGGGCCAGATTTCATTCTTTCTCATTGCATAATGGCCCCAAATCTTGATAACAGCTTTCTAGATTTATTTTTAGAAAAAGGAGCTAAGGACAGGGAACAGAGACTATAATTTAATGAGTTGCCCTTGTGGATTATGTAACTGTCTCCCAGGACTTGTAGTCCAGAAAGCACTTCCCAAGACGCAACCTTCCCAGAGTGGGCTGACAATGTGGAGTCTGTGCCTGCATGGTTAAATGAATACTCCCCTAAGAAAGATCAACCAACAGGCAGCATGAACCTCAGAGACACTAACACTCACTGTGACAATGAGGCAAGTGCAGAGCACGACACA